GTCCAACATTCGTAGTTTAGAATTATGAATGTGAATAAGAAAAAGGAAAGAACTAGGCGAACATCTTAGTGAACTTTCTAAATTGGGAAGTTTCCAAATTTAGAAGGTAGAAGGTCCACTGAATTAGGGTTTCCAGTTTCAGAAATTGGAATCGAGAATTGGCATTCGTAATCACGAGGACGTTTCAATGATTCCGAAAATATAATTGTTATAATTTTCCAATTATTGAGTTGTGAGAAACGAGCGAAGAAAGACTAACGAACTTAAGCTGTTGGGCCCAGTCCAACTTAAGCTCGTTCGGGCTTTTATACAAGACACTATAAATATAAGATTTATGGGTCTTACACAACACACAAGACACAACCCTAACACTAGCCGCTCACCCCACGTCCGATGCCCCTTCTCTGCCGCTCCGCCGTCGTTGTCGCTCTGTCGCCGGAATCGGCGCCCACGCACCGATAGCTCTTCGGTAGTAATTTCGTTTTAATTATTCTTCCATTTTATTCTAATGTTTGCATGTCTAGTGCCATGTATTAGTTGAATTCGGTATATGAGGTGAAATCCCAGAGGAGGAAGACAATGGAGTCGATCTGCCGAAACGCCGCCGTCGAACCGCCATCGCACGCGCCCTCATGCGCTGCCCGAAGACAGCGCGTGAATCTCACGCGCCGCCGCTAATCGGCGCGTCCACCGTCGTCACTTCGCCGCCGCTTCTCCCGACTGCACGGATTGGTTTCCGTGGCAGTTTGCGTCAATCCGAAAGTTCGTCTCACGCTTCGAGAGGTAAATTCCGGATCCATTTTTAATTAGGTATTAATTTAATTTGATTAAATTAAACTTGATATTCGCAGTATGATTTTACTTGAATGTTTTTGTGAAATTGTTATGTATGAATTCTTGATTTACTGCGAGCATGCTACATGATTTAATTATCGAATTAATTATATGCATGTGGTATTTTAATTTCACTGGAAGCATTAAGGTACGTAAATATATTTTAATTTACGATGGAAGCATTAAGGTACGCAATTAATTGCTATTATAGAGTACGTGTTTATATGATCAAACTCGTTTTTCATATATTTTTTTTGTTTTCTGCTGCATACACGGGCCTGATTCTCAACACTACTAAGGTATAGTAGTCTTGCATCATCCAAGTGTGAATAACACAAATATCAAACATTTAATATAGTATTAATTAAAAAAAAAACACGACATAAATAATTCTCACATTATCAATGGCACTTGCTCCGCTTCTTGACCTCAAATTTATTTGAGCAATGAATTCAGCAAATCTTGTACAATTTTGATTAATTTTTGTCCAGTGGGATTTCATTCTTTTTTCACCTCCATCAGGAACCAACTCGTGATTTTTTTCGTGGAGTCGCTTCCACATTATAGTCAGATTGATTATTTCCAACAAGGGGATCTTCACTAATTGCAATATAAGCTTGGCACAAAGATGCATCATCTACGGAAGAAAAAATACGGCCCGTTGAACTTCCTTCATGATCTCCCATTACTGTAAAAAAAGTTAATAAGTAATTAAACTAAATGTAAAATATTAAATTTATTAAACATAAAAACAATATAAAATAAATAAATACTTAATACTTAAAATATTTTTACCCTCCACTAGGGATGACAGCGGAACGGGTACCCTCGAAAAAGTGTAATACCAGAATCATTACCATTTATATAGCTCAAACCTAACCATACCAAACCCGTATAAATTATATCGAAATACCAGAACCATTACCACCAATATCCGGATACCCACGGGTAACTATTTACCATTTAAATTATGGTGATATGAAATAATCTGGGGCCAATAATGTTTCAGTACCTCAAGATAAACATGAAAAAAATGCATAACTTTTAAGTAAGTTATACAAAATAAAATAAAACACTTCATAAAATTGATGTCCCAAGGCAACAAAATGATAATTAAAAAGCAATATCTACTATAATATATAGAAAATATATTTTGAAGTATCACAACGAAACTTGTTTTGTACCCAAGCAATTCAGTAAGTAGTAAAATTATATTTCCATACGTTATTTAATATTCTATTTAAAGTATTGCAAAATTATTTTTTTATTTATATTATGTTTAATTAAAAATAATATATATTGATTCGGTAAAAACTAATCTCTTGGCCCGTTAAGGAGGATGGCCCAATAAGGGCCCAACAGGGAGACTCCCATAAGAAAGTCAGCTTGGTCAAAATAAAGCCCAGCTGAAAAGCGAGAAGAGGAAGGGCTCTCGCTGACGGGAAGAAAAGCTTGACTGCTTGCGAGCGAGAGGTCTGACAAAGCCATCCTCACATTTAATGCCCGTCTTCTCATGTGTCAGAGATATCAGGGAACGTTTAGCTTTGGGCATGTGTAGCCCACAACACTGTTCCTGGAAGAGACAAGTTAAGCCCAATTGAATCTTCATTTGGGGTCCGGAATAATCTAATTAGACAAAATAAACTGGAGTAAAGTCCGGATTCGAATCCGAGGACTTTTTCTACAAATAGCCTAAGGCCAGGTAAACAAAGGTACGCGTATACAATCTGAAAAAAGCTTATCAATTACCGAGAGTATTTTATAGTAAATAAACCTACTAACTTGGCCATCGTAGTGCTAACTCTGGCATAAGCCCGGTTTTTCTTTTTCTGGTCTTATTCTACAGATCACCGTACAGAAGGAGAACCCGGTCAAAACAACATCAAAGATTCGACTGAATCAAATGGCGCCGTCTGTGGGAAATCTCCGAGTATAAGAACGTTGAGATAACCAAGCTTTTAAATTATTTTGTTCTTTTCTTTTCCCTACTGTACTACCACCAAAAATAAATTTGATGATGAACACCCCCGTGGAGAATATCGGTCAACTTGGCCAATCGGAATCAGAAGTTAGCCCAACGCCCCACCCTGATGTGCAGGGAGTTTATCTAGAAGGAGGTACCTCCGTTCAGCGAGATGATGTCCTGCGTACTCCAGATGCTTCAACAGCTGGTCCCATGGTCACTCTTACCATAGAATCACTTCAATCCCTTCTGAAGGCGGTCGCTCAAGGTGGATCATCGCGTGAAAGAAGGGAGCAGGAGAGGCTGCCACCAACAAAGAGGCGTCTGAAGTATGCAAACGGGGCGGAGGAAGATGCTCCTTTGGAGCGAGAGGCACTAAATGCAGTTGTCACTGCGGCGGAACCGCAGAGACCTGCTCAGGCAAGGAGAAGCCCGTTCACGACAGAAATATTGAATGACGAGCTCCCTGGTTCATTTCGACCAGTCACGTACGAATATTTGGGGACTACGGATCCCAACGAGCATATTTGCAGATTTAATAACACATCGGACCTGAATCGTTTTTCGTACGGAGTAAAGTGTAGAGTATTTACCACAACTCTAGCTGGACCAGCCCAAGCATGGTTCAGTCAACTCCGCCCCTCCTCGATAGACAGTTTTGAGCAGCTCGCTTCCGTGTTCCTCGACCATTTCGTGAGCTCCAAAAAAGCAGAAGAGGAGCACTTTGACTCTCTTCGCGGTCAAGCAGAGGGAGGGAGAATATCTACGAAGTTTCATCAAGCGTTTTATAACAGCTACATTGGAGGTACCTATAACTTCCGATGAGGTTTTGATCAACGCCCTAGCACAAGGATTGCGAGTAGAAGATTTATTTACCTCTTTGTCCAAACCCCCCCCCCCAAAATTTTCAAAAAAAAATTTTTTTCCCCCTTTTTCCCCACCCCCCCCCCCCCCCCCCCCCCCCCCCCCCCCGCTCATTCAATGATCTATTGAAAAAGGCAGAGCGATACATGAATGCGGAGGAAGCGGAGCAGAGTAAAACAGGTGATGCTAAAGGAGGTGATAGGAAGAAAGAAAGGCGAGGGGAAAAAGTCCAGAGACCCACTCCTCTGATCAGAAAAGAGGGGCCTACGGAAAAGCGAGTAGGCCCCGTTTCGAGAATTATATGTCGCTTGTGCACCACCCGCAGAGATCCTAATGGCCATCGAAAATCACCCCAAATTGAAATGGCCTCGCACTTATTCCGAGATTCCCAAACAGAGCCCGGCCACATGAAGTTTCTGCCGTTTCCACAATGACTATGGGCATACCACAAATGAATGTCAGCACCTAAGGGACGAGATAGAAAGGCTAATTCGAGCCAAGAACCTACCCGAGTTCATAAAGCCTGGATACGCTCCGACGAATGCACCGGCCCCATATGTCCGGCCCAATAGCAGCCGCCAAGAGAATGCTCGGGAAAAGCCGAGCGAGAGGAAAGACCACGCCCCAGTAGGAGGTTTTATCCACATGATACATGGAGGACCTTCGGGAGGAGACTCGAACACGGCCAGAAGGGCCCATTTGAGACAGTTAAGGGAAACGGAAGAACTCTTTGGAGAAGTAGAAGCAACTGATATAATGAGCCGCGCGAATCTACAACAACTCTATGAAATGGAATCACAACTCGTTGAGGTACAAAGGGTGTCGCATGTCCCGCCCATCATGTTCGGACGACTAGACGAGGAGGGGATACAACACCCTTTTACAGTTGCCCTAGTAATCACTGCCATGGTAGCTAATTTCGACATAGCTCGAATCCTAGTAGACACCGGGAGCTCTGCGGATGTCATTTACTACAGCTGTTTCAAACAGATCAATATGAATTTTGAACTGAAGTATGTGGAGACCAGCTTGGTGGGATTCTCGGGAGAGACGGTCCAAGCTATAGGATAAGTGTGCCTCCCCATCTCTCTAGGGATGGAGCCCGTACGGGCTACCAGGTCAATAAATTTCCTGGTCTTAGACGTCCCCTCTACTTACAATATGATACTCGGTCGGCCTTCCATGAATCTATTCCGAGCCGTGGTATCAACCTACCACATGAAATTAAAATTTCCCGTTGGAGATCAGATTGGATCAACAGACAGCGAGAAGGTTTTATTACGATGCATTAATAAGAACTGGTAGGATTGATAGCATCCATAGCAGGCGAGCAGACACAATGGGAGGAGATGAGCCTCGCCCCGGGGTCGATCCTGATAAGGAGGAAGGCCATGTTCGACCCATGGAGGAGTTAATGATGGTGCAATTATGCGAGAGGGATGCTACTCACACTACTAGAATTGGAAGGGACATGGATGCCATGATGGCAAAGCAACTTGTAGATTTCTTACGACGCAACCAGGATGTGTTCGCCTTCTCGCCCAGTGACTTGGTTGGAATTGATAGCTCTTTAGCTGTTCATAGGTTAAACGTCAAGCCCGGGACCAAGCCAGTAAAACAAAAGATGAGGCATCTTGGAGCTGAAAAAGATAGAATAATACACGAGGAAGTTCTAAAGTTGTTGAGTGCTGGTCAAATTCGCGAGATAAGGTTTCCCACTTGGTTGTCCATTGCTGTCTTAGTAAAAAAGGAATGGGCAAGTGGAGGATGTGTATCGAATTTAGAGGCATGAACAAAGCATGTCCGAAAGATTATTATTACCCCCTGCCGCATATGGCCCAGCTTGTAGATTCAACGGCAGGGTGCGAGATGTTGAGCATGATGGATGCTTCCCAAGGCTACCATCAGATCCCTCTAGATCGAGAGGATCATGCTAAGGTGAGCTTTATCACATCGACAGGCACCTACTGCTATACAGTAATGCCCTTTGGCTTGAACAATGCGTGCGCAACTTATCAGCGAGCAACTTATCAGCGATTGGTGGACCAGATGTTTCGAACACAGCTAGGGAGAAACATGTAGATATATGTGGATGACATGCTGGTAAAGAGTAAGGAAGCGAACACACACCTGGAGGATCTCCAATAAACTTTTCACACCTTGCGACAATACGGGATGAAGCTCAGCCCAATAAATGTGCCTTTGGAGTTAGGACAGGCAAGTTTCTTGGTTATATGGTGACTGAAAGAGAAGTGGAGGTGAATCCCGAGAAAGTACAGGCCGTTATAGATATGAGGGCTCCAAGAAACATTAAGGAAGTTCAAACGCTGGCAGGGAGGATCACCGCGCTGAGCAGGTTTATATCAAGATCCGGGGAAACCAGTTACCCTTCTTTCAAAATTATGTGAAAAGGTGCCAAGTTCATATGGACCGAGGAATCTGAGGTCGCTTTTGCCCAACTAAAGATGCTTTTCACTCGAGTACCACTATTAACCAAACCAAATGCGGGAGAGAAGCTATACGTGTATTTATCCGTGGGCGAATATTCGGTGAGCTCGGTGCTCATCCGAGAGGAGGAGGGGAGGCAAAGCCCAATATATTATGCGAGCAGACTGCTGCGTGGACCCAAAGGTCGATATACAGAAATCGAGAAAATCGGCCTGGCGTTGGTAACCACTGCAAGGAAACTACGGCCCTACTTCCTCTCGCACACGATTATAGTCCAAACTAATCATCCTATGAAGATAGTTCTGGGAAAGATGGATGTGTCAGGCAGAATGGTGAAGTGGGCGGTCGAGTTGGGACAATTCGACATAGAATACATGCCGCGGTTGGCAATTAAAGGGCAAGCTCTGAAAGATTTCCTACAAGAAACCACGAGGATCAATGAAGAGGGAGAGTGGAGACTATTCGTGGATGGCGCATCCAATTCAATGGGGAGTGGAGCGGGAGTGGTACTGGAAAACAAGGGGCGAGGACGAGGGAGCAGAATACACAATTAAATTACCCTTCTGAACCTCCAATAACGAGGCAGAATATGAGGCAGATATACATGGTATGAAATTAGCCGCATTAGCAGGCGCTAGAAGAGTGAGCATCTTCTCGGACTCCAAGCTAGTGGTCCAGCAGATAAAAGGCGAGTTCGAGATTAAAAGTGGCAGGATGCATGGCTATTGCGAAAAAGCGCGAGTCCTGATGAAGGAATTTGAGAAAATAGACCTGACCCAAATTCCAAGAGAGGAGAACATAAGGGTGGATTTCCTCGCGAAAATAGGAAGCATGGCTATGAGCTGCGAATTGCGGAAAGTGCAAATAATCATGGGGGAGCTATCCATAAGTGGCAGACATCAAATCTTGGGGATGATGGAGATCCAAGACTGGCGCACGGAAATAAAGAATTATCTGCTAGGTAAAAACCAAGAAAGTTCCCGAGAAAGAGCAAGGTTGAGTCATCGAGCAAGGAATTTTTGTCTCGATGGGGACATACTGTACAAAAGAGGCTATAAGAGACCACATCTGCGGTGTCTGAGCACGCATGAGGGCCAATATGTTTTGCGAGAGATCCATGAGGGATGCTGCAGTAATCACGCAGGGGGGAGGGCCCTTATCGTACGTGTGTTGAGGAGCGGATACTTCTGGCTGAACATAAGGAAAGATGCGATACAGTTTGTCAAGAAATGCGACAAATGCCAAAAGCATGGAGCATTAATACACGTCCCGGGCGAGGACATGACGGCTATCACATCACCTCACCCATTCGCACAATGGGGGATATATATCGTGGGACCCCTATCACTCGCTCGCGGACAGAGAAAATTCTTAATAGTCACAGTAAACTATTTTAGCAAATGGGTAGAGGCAGTGGCAGTGGCAAAAATAACGGATTCACAAATCATGAAGTTCGTGTGGCAGAATATTTGTTGTCACTATGGATTGCCAAAAAACCTCATCTCAGACAATAGAATACAGTTCAACTCAAAAAGAATACAAGATTGGTGCGAAGGTTTAGGAGTAAAGCAACAGTTCGCGGCTGTGGCACACCCGCAAGCAAATGGCCAAGTTGAAGTAGTTAACCGCATACAACTCGAAGGAATAAAAAAAAGCTTAGAAAAAACAAAAGGCAACTGGGTAGAGGAACTACACGTGATCCTACGGGCATATCGAACGACACCAAAGGAATCAACAGGAGAAAGCCCTTTCTCGTTGGTTTACGGATCTCAAGCAGTAGCTCCAGTCGAGGTAGGAATGCCCTCGAGCAGGATTATGAATTTCCAACAAACGGCCAACAACGAGCGCTTGCGAGAAAGCCTGGATCTAGTAATTGAGAGACGAGAAGAAGCCAGGCTCAGGATGGAGGCAAATAAAGCAAGGGTCAAGGCCGCATATGATAAAAGAATGAAGGCAAGGGTGTTCCATGTAGAAGACTTGGTCCTCAGGCAAGCGGACACATTAAACAAGTGGGAAAGCTAATGGAATAATGGGAAGGGCCATGCAAAGTGGAAAAGGTTCTTAGAGGTGGAGCGTATATGCTGAGCGACATGTCAACGAAGCATGTGGCACGTGCTTGGAATATCTGTCATCTGAAAAAGTATTTTGTATGATATATTAGGACGCGAAAGGACACACCACGCGCTTAGAATTTCTAGATATTTTGTGTAAATAGTTAAGGCAGATATTGCCATTCACCTTGCATGGGAAAGGTGAACAATTTTCCTCGTAACATCGCAATACAAAATGAAGGCCTCTTTTTTGACATACTTTAGCATAGATTTAGCTAACAAAAACACAATCGAAGCAAGATCACGAGCTCGAGAAAGATCCTCGACACAATTCGAGGATCGCACGAAAAATGGAACAAGAGCACTAGCTCGAGAAAGATCCTCGACAGAAATCGAGGATCACACGAAAAATGGAACAAGAGCGTGAACTCGAGAAAAGATCCTCGACAGAACTCGAGGATCGCACGAAAAATAAAACAAGAGCACGAGCTCGAGAAAGATCCTCGACAGAATGGAGGATCACACGAAAAATAAAATAAGAGCACAACTCGAAGAGATCCTCGGCAGAATTCGAGGATCACACGAAAGGAATGAAAGTGCGAGCTCGCGAAAAGAAAAGATAAAATCAAGGATCACACGATAGAAAGAGGAGCACAAGCTCGAGAACAAATCCTCTTTTAAATGGGAGGATCATATGAAATGTGAAAAAGAACGCGAGAATTCAAAAGTACTTCAATAAAATTAGAGGTTGAACTAGAGCGCGAACTCGACAAATAAATTCCACTAAACACAATGTTAAGGAAAAGTAAGAGAAATGAGCAGTAATATATGATAAATAACGATAGAGATTAAAATTTTAAAGAGCACAAATACATAAATAAGTTCGAATGTTTGGGAATACGAATAACAATAAAAAAAAACCACAGAAAATAACAGAACGGAAGCATCGTCCGCGGGAGCAATAGGAGTCAAATTATCAGCATGCACTCGAGGGTTTGAGGCTGCGGGAGCAAGTGTCGAGGAAGATGGAAAGTCAGAGGAGGTAAAAGCATGGACAGAATCCATAAGTGCCACACTGGAGGCAGCATGGGAGGCATAACGATTCAACGAGGCGAGCGTGCTCTCTAAAACCCGGGACCACCAGTCATGATCAATAGGTTCTGAGGAATTACCCTCCCATCCTAGGATTTTGTCGCCGAGCTGATCAAGCAGATAACCGATTTCCTCAGAAGGATCGGGTAACCATTATTTTCCGCGTACAGTCAAATCCCGCGCTCGAAATAGCCAACTCCTATGGATGCAGCCTTGGAGGCAAAACGCATCGACAAAGGATAATTGTTGATCAAAGACTCGCGATATTTGAACAAAAAATGCTGCCCGCTGGCCCTCTCGTGCGCCACAACACGTATGCACTCTACTTCCATGTTCTTCGTAATTTCGCGGGCCACGACTATCGTTTGCTCTTTTTCTGCCTCCAGCCTCCTAACTTTGCTCTCAAGGGAGGATATCATCTCCCTATACTTCTGAGCCACAAGTTGAATCTTCTCTTCTGAGGCCTCCTTAGCTTGTTTTAACTGACGAGCATAATCTTGTAATTGGGCCACTTCTACCGCATTCTCGCTAACCTCCCGCCTCAGACGGGTAACCTCGGTCTGGCAAGAGGAATCTTCAGCACCAAAACCATGGGCCAGAAGTACATTCACCTGGGCAATGAAATAGAAACATGAGAAAATGAGCATAACTTAATATATATAAATAAAAAAAAAAAAAAAACTTGTCAACTACCTGAGATGCATGAAAAAGCAGGCGCGCGTGCTTTTGCTCATGAGATAAACGCTCGAGAGCCTGAGTGTCTTCGGTACACTTCAGGTGATCGAAATGAAGCGACATGTCCTCCACAGGAATGTCAGGATGATAGGAGGATAAAAATCCACCCTCGCGGACACGAGAACGCTTTGAAGCAAGAGAAGTCCCCTCGTTCTCCACCAAAAATACTTGCTTAGAGCTGCCCAAGCCCGATGGAGTTCTTTCGGCCGAGGCTGAAAGGTCGGGTACACCCTGAAGAGTTGTAGTCTCGCTGCCCAACTCGATCAGCGGCTCCCACAAAGAGGCCATAGGAGGGACTGAGGATAGGGCTCCCAGAGCAGCGCTAGTTACTGCCTTGTTCGGGAAAGGTTCACGAGCGGTGGAAGGTGCATGGCTAGTGGACTCTGAAACTTGGCGAGCAGAGGCTTGCGCATGCTGTTTGGCGTGGGCTGCGTTCGTGGCCTCTCGCATCATCTCACCTGAGCAA